CCCCAAAACCCCAAAACCCCAAAACCCCAAAACCCCTATAAATTTCATAAATTTTGATATTATAAAATATGGTAACTTTGGATCGATAATAAATTCCTAAAGACTTGGACTCTAGAGCTTCCTCTTATGTGAAATTAGGTAAGCACATCAACAACAGTGATTTGGTGGCTTTGAAGATCATCAAGGACAGTGATTATCGGAACGGTTACTCTGCCGCGACTTTAAAGACCAAAATAGAGATTATGAGTGATATTAACCACCCCAACATTATTAACATGCTAAATAGCACCAATAGTGGTATTTTAAAGAAGCTAGTGGGAATGTCAAGGATAAAGTGTTCTACTTAGCTTTAGAACTTGCTTCAGGTGGGGAACTGTTCGATTTCATCGCTCAGAATGCAAGCTTCTCAAAGCCTGTAGCAAGATTCTATTTCCATCAGATGATAGATGCTTTTGAGTATCTATACTTAAATTGAATTAGCCATAGAGACATGAAGCCTGATAATATTATGTTTAACAAAGAGTTCAACCTGAAAATTGCAGATTTCGGTTTGAGTTTTAAAGCTGCTTCCAATCAGTCCTTTAAGAGTACGAGAACTACATGGCTCAAGATATCCTAATTGGCGGAGAGTACCACGGTCAGATGGTAGATATTTTTGCTGCTGGAATCATTCTTTTCATTATGGTAACCCAGATCCCTCCATTCCAGATGGCCCATCCCTAGGACGGTTGGTTCAAGTTTGTATGCTTTGATAGGATAAACAAATTCTGGGAGTATCAAGTGCAGAATCATCCAAGAGGAATAGAATTGTTCTCAAAGAGCTTTATCGACTTGATAAATTAGCTTTCAACTTCGATCATACAACTAGGCCTTCATTATCCTAGATCAATATAAGAGTGATACACTGGGCCAGTCATGATTAAAGATGAAATTACTGAATAGTTTACTAAGAGTCAAGCTATGCTAGATAAATGCTCTAATGATACATTCTCAGAGGCCGATGTTGCACAAGGAGTCTATGATTCTAAATCAGTCCACAGGGATGTCAAGGAAATGTTGAAGAGCCCTCGACTCTTCCAGTACTCCACATGAAAGGGGTTGAATGCATTGCTTGTTTGGGTTACCTTATTAAATTCTTTTCTGAATCTTTTTTGGAAGAGCTCTTCGCTACTATTGGCCAATTTGCTATATCAAAATCGAGCCATTACAAGTTTTCAGCATTGGAATATCCAATTATTATGAATATCGCTGATAATAGCGAACAGAGAGTTAAACTTCAAGATAGCATTGCTGTAAACTTTAGGATTGAATTAAAAATCTAATTTTTAATATTTCTATAACCTTTCTTTGAGAGAAACTCTCGGAAAACAATAGCATGATTATTCAATATATCAGATGTTGAGATATCTTAAATATGCCAGATTTGTTAAATAATACCCCTGGAATCTTCTAATTAGTACCTATTCTCTTCAACCTTTGCTGATACAATATGGATGCTGGCGATAACAATCATCCTATTGAATGTACCAAATTAGCAGGAGACAGATTCCAGTTCAATGATATTTATAAAGAAATCAAGGTCTTGTTCGGAGGCCTCATCATCACCACTGCATAATTTCGCATATTTAATTTCGAAATAGAAATCTATCAGAGGAAATTATTCTGTTGCACTTTATGATCACCTCTTGAGAAACTTTTCCTGTTAATTAATTATGCACTTCCATATACAGGAAGGAGTAATTAATTTGGAAAGAGTAGCATAGCCACGTCTTAAAGAAAGACACTGGTTTAGCTTAATATTCTGATCATAATTTTTACATTGAGCTCAATTAAAAAATGTTTAAAAGGGGTTTTGGGGTTTTGGGGTTTTGGGGTTTTGGGGTTTTGGGG